TCCATAATGCCCTATACATTTTTGAAAATTACAAAAAAAACCTTTTTAGGATTTTTAGTTACTTAAAATGATTTAAAAAAATCTTAAAAAATTTCAAAAAATCATAGAATCATTTCTTGAAGCTGAAATAAATAATTCTAGAAGTGGATTACCAATGGGTCAAGAAAGGTAATTGTACCCGACCCAGTAATCGCGATCCTTGATTATCTTCTTAAACCAGCCCACGAGACCCGTGACCCACAGTCGCATAGGGGCTCATAATTGGCTAGTCAAATATGGCAAATAAATAGTGAAATCATGCTCCCAGAATGTGGATTACAGATTCCCACCTTAAGAGCAAGGCACACACATATCACTATAGTGCAAGGGGGAGACTCTATGCACATATGCATGTGCATGTATCCCTTTGTGGGGTTGCTGTATGCATTTGTACATGCCATTCAGAACTTTGTTGAGGATTTAGCTTCTAGCTTTCACAAGCCTACATCACATAGGAGCTGCAACTCTCTTGTTCTACAAATTATCCCTAGGCATCTCTTAGGACTCAACAAGGGATGACCTTCGTGAAACCATCTTCAGTTGTCCTATATGCCCAAGGGTGAAGGGTTTTGGTTGCGTCTAGGGCCATACACTGCCTAACTCTTAGTCAACCAACACACACACTCCCAATGAAGTGTATGATCCCCCATGATTCTTTATTACATGCTCTCACAGACTCTGAAAGCCACAAATCCCAACAAATGTGTTTTGACTGTCATCTTGAAAAGCTGCTCTACAAGTGCAGAAACACTTCAGAAAATTGAAGTTTGACGAGCCCTTATTCTATTGCTAAAGTTTAAGACAATAAGGATTTTATCATCTATAGCTTTTATTGAAGGTGCCATTTCTGGTGCATGTTAAGGACGCATCTCTGTCATAGCATTTGTGAAATCCACATGCTGCTCCATCTTGGAAATTTTTTGAGTGATCTTCAGTTTGTAGACCCAACTTATGGTTGCAAATAAGTTGTCTAGGATTGGTTTAGGGGGCACTATGGTTCGAGGGAGTTTCAAACAGTTTGTAATTGATTCCTCTTTAGGCTTTTGGTGTTCAAGTGAATAGATAACTGTACCTCATAATTACGATATTTATTGTTGTTGCATGTAATGTGGCTGTGACCTTATCAAATATTAAGGATATTTTCTAGTCACAAATAAGGATGGGGATAATTGTCATTCTCTCATGGAGTGTGATCACTAAATCATTAAAAGGAATATTTGGTACAGTAGCACAAGTACTTGAGCTTTGCCATTAAGTGCAATGAGTGATTATGATGATTAGATGATACCTTTCTCAACTCCTTTGTCTAGAATTTAGAACATTTTCCGGCGATGATGACCCTCTATTTAGTCCTACACCCAAATGATTGGTTGGGGGCACCTTTATTTAACCTTTTCATGACCAGACAATGCACATGCAATTTAATACATTATTACATTCATTCGACTCATGGTGTCATTCTTTCACTAGCATCATATCTCTGGCTAGTTGCACCATAGCCATCGGGATGTTCCAACCAAGGGGTTGATTCCACTCTAAAATCCCGCTTCTGCACTCCGGAGAAGGGAATCTTTCTCCTCTGAGGTTTTTAATAATTTGGAATCTTCATCCTTCCTATTAAGGTTTGAGTTTTGAATTATATAGGATCTAGATTCCCTAAGATTATAGTATACGATAACAATGTGATCATCATCCTTCGAGTTTTATCCTAACTATTTGGGGTCGGTTACACAAATCCAATTCCCACATTCTGTTGTATCAAAGGTCATACTCTTAGTCAGGCCCCATAAGTCCCCATATTTCTTCACACAACTTCCATCCATCTCCTTTTGGGTCTTTCCCTTGTTCATTTAGAGCTTTCCACATGAATCAAATCGCTCCTCCTAAGCGGTGCTGTATTAGGTCTATGCTGCACATGTCCAGCCCACCTAAGTCTACTTTTCCACATCTTATTGCCTATTGGAGCGCCCCTAAGTTCTCTTATATGTATTCATTCCGAATTCTATCCTTTCTTATTTTGCCACTCATCCATCTCAACATCTTCATCGTAGCTACACTCATCCTATGGATGTGTTGTTTTTTGACTTGCCAACATTCAGTCCCATAAAGCATTGCTCATTTGCAGCCATCCTAAAAAACTTACCCTTGAGTTTTATTGGCATGCGACGATCACATAGAACTCTGGTTGCATTTCTCCACTTCGCTCAGCCAGCTCTAATTCTATGTGCGATATTTTCTTCAATCTTTCCATTTTTCTTGATTATTGATGCAAGGTATTGAAAATGATCGCTTTTAGGCATTTCTTAATAATCAATCTTAACTACTTTCTCGTTTCTACACCTATTATTACTAACTTACATCCTTTACATTCTGTTTTAGACTAGCTAATTTTAAACCCTTTAGATTCTAGAGCATCCCTCTAAAGTTTTAATTTGTGTTGACACGTCCTCTAGTCTTATCAACCAAAACTATGTCATCCACGAACATCAAATACCATGGTACCTCATGTTGTAGATGCCTAGTGAATTTGTCCATAACGAAAACAATGAGATATGAGCTTAACGTTGACCCTTGATTTGAGCCTATTGTCATTAAAAACTCGCTTATTTCTCCATTAGTTGTTCTCACACTAGTTAGCACTCCCTCGTACGTATCTCTCACCACGTCAATATATCCTCTAAAGATGCCGTTCTTTTCCAATGACACCAAATTAACTTTAAGTACCCTATTGTATGCTTTCTCTAAATCTACAAAGACCATGTGAAGGTCTCTTTTCTTCTCTCAAAACTTCTCAAACAGTTGCCTAAATAAGAAAATAGCCTCAAATGTTGACCTCCCTGGCATAAAACTGAATTGATTTTCTGATACACGCGTTTCATGTCTTAGTTATTGCTCAATCACTCTTTCCCACATCTTTATAGTGTGACTCATAATTGTGATCCTTTGATAGTGTGTACAGTTCTATAGGTCTCCTTTCTAATAAATAGGTGCCACCATATTTTTTCTCCATTCGTCTGGCATTTATTTTGTTCTAAACAACTTGTTGAACAACTTGGTCAGCCAGAATATGCCAATCTCATCCATACACTTCCAAACCTCTATTGGGATACTATCTAGTCCTAAAACGTTTCCTATAATCGTCTTTCTTCATACTTCTTTCACTTCAGATATCCTAATTCTATGAATATATCTATGACCTTTGACCTCATTTATGTGAAAGATTTCTCCTAACCCTGTGTTCCCAAAGTGTACGTCATTTAACAATTTGTGAAAATAAATTTGCCACTTTTCGTTGACCTCATCATTCTTCACCAACACCTTCTGATCCTCACTCTTAATGCATTTACTAGTATAGCAGTGTGATATGGTATAGTATATAGTTCTATACTTTATGGTATATCGTAGTGTGACATTAGTATAATAGTATATAAAATATAGCAGAATATATTATATAACATAGTATTATAGGATAGCATAACTGTATAATATTGTATAGTAGTGTAGTATACTATACTACTTACGTACTATATTATGGTACTTGTTAAATGTTTTCAAGGGCCTCGGTTTTTAACCAAATGGAGCATGGCTTGTATAATCTATCATCCGAATTAAGTTTTGATCAAGCTTGTATACATATTGGAATTGGGATGCCTAGATTTCATTGTGTACAGGCTATCATATGGAGCTTCTTGCTTCTCATGTTCCTATAGTTCCGATCACAGGCCACGATCTGACTCGATCCAAATCCCGGAAACTATGGGTCTTATGGACAGACTGAAATGTTTGTATGGATACGAGGAAATATTCTATTTTATGCTGTATTTCTTTTGTTCCTTCACATTGAAAGGAATAAGACATCATGTCTATGCCTTTGCCGATGTGAGCATGATGCCATGTCAAAAGCCCTCATGTGATCAGTATACAGCTTTCAGCTCTGTTTGCAGTTCAATTTACAGGCTTTGACTACTCTCTCTTGAAACGTTTGCAATGCCATATATATAGCTACCAAAGTTGTACTTCATGAGAGGTCCATCCATATTTATGTGACTGTTACTGTAATAGATATATAGTAACTGATGGCAATATCACTACTCTATGATCAACTTAATAGATGAAGTTGCATATTTGATTTTCAGGTCAATAACTTGAGATAGACACAACTTTCGGGCGAACAAACTGGAGCTCTTATTTGTAGATAGTCATTTTTTGTGCTATTTTTTGTGCTAGATATTTAGTCATGTATATGCCATATGTATAGTAGATACTCATATTTAGTCTTATTTGTAGATACTCATTATATCGTACCTTGTATAGTACATAGGCTATGATACATAACAAATAATGTTACTATATGCCATAATTTTTTATCATGTCAAAATATGGTCATTTAGATATGATTATGGTGTATGTTCATAACCTGAAGATATATGTTAGATTTATCCAGATTAATATGCGCAACTATTATAGGAGTATTTGGTGCTAGTACCAGTGTTGGCATGATATGATTCCGGTACATTTAGCATTTAGGTGTCAATACCAGTGTTGGCATGATATGATACCGGTACATTAAGCATTTACAACTATCCAGGTATCTCAGGAGCCCAAGTGGTGAAATTGTCATTTTGCACCTCTGACTGCTCCATGTGGGTTACCGCTGCTCTGACATTAATTCAGAACACGGTGGGATTAACATGGAGGTGACAGTAGTTTGGAGTTTTCTTCTTTAAAATCCACTTATTCATTACGTCTACTTATGGGCTGGTGATGGTTGAGGCACAGCAGGAGGCAGTAATGTGATTGTATTGGTGCAATCTTGAAACTTTCCATTTCTGAAACAGTTTACAAAGAGAGTCTCTGACAGCTCATTAATGCTTTCTTACTGATAAATGTTACATGAAGTGTTTTCCTTATGAACTGTGGTGTACGCTACTGTTTCTGATGGAGAACTTGGTAAATTTCAGGTACCAAGATGCAATGTGAAAGACCTGGATACAATGTCTACCAGGTTGTTACCAATGTTTCTGATCAATTGCATCGTGGGAGAGATTATTCATGTGGGGGTGATGATCCAGATTACACCTGTTCCTCTGCTGAAAAATCTGGCCAACAGTTCCTTGCCCCTCTTGCATCTCCTGGTTTGAAGATTTTATTTAGTTATGCAAATGTCACACGACCTGAAGATTATAGAGGACCAATTACTTGCAGTGAAGCTACAGGAAATTGTGCAATTCACATTTTGCATGACACGACCACTGCTAATCCGTATGAAAATCCTCTGGGTGGTTTCAGTGCACATGGCATACAGAATGGTGAGAACGGAACATGTCTGATAAAACTTGCCCCTGATTTTCCTGACTATGCAATTGACCCCTTCTGGCCATTTTGCAAATTTGAGCTCCGAGGAAAATGTAACGATGATGAATGTCCATGGCAGCATGCCCGAGACTACTTAAAGAGAGATTCAATGCAACGTAATGATTCAACTAGTTCTGAAATAATTTCTTCAACAATCGACAACAATAGATCCACAGAGCCCAAACTTTGTAACAAGGAACCCTTTAGAGGAGAAACTATTCATATGGGTTCTCAAAACCATTCTTTATTGCATCTTGGGGATTTTAGAAATTCAAAAGGACTGTCTTGGACCCTGCGCTGTGATGCCTTGTCAATTCCAGTATATCAAGTTGGTTCCAATCTTATAAAAGCAGACATGCACCAGTGTGGATCCATGCTAGCTCATTCTACTTGGAGATACTGGCAATTGGGTTTCTGCAGCTCATTATCTGTCCCCTTTGCACTAAGGAGAAATCCATTATGGGGTATATCATCCTTGGATGAAGGAAGTGCTAATGATGAAGACTATGCCATTCGAGGCAGGCTCTCAATGTATATTCGTACGCAAGATGTTGTCATGGTGCGTTAAATGGTTTCTGTTGCTCTCTCCTTTATTTTTTATTTTTCATTCTCTTCTTTTTTCCCTACATGTTATCTTAGCTACACTTGAATTTATTGTTAACTGTGAATTCCTTCTCCTCCTCCCCCCCCCCCGCTTCTCTTTCTGATAGGAGCACCTGTCTTGGGCTAAATTTATTTCTCTTGTTTGTGGATCGCACTGTACCTTACGAGGCTTTGCCTCACTGACTTTCCTATGTACTTTTTGTCGTGGAAGAATTCTAAATTGAATGCAATTCTCTAATCTTTTGTCATATCTCCTGATTTGTTTTAGTTGATAGTTAATGCAGATAACAATATTATACCTGATAGTTGGCATAAGTGTTTAGAGAATAGAGAATGCGACAATAACTCCTTCTCCTCTTGGGTCTCGGGCAGGGCCGGTTACAGGCTGCAAACAAAAATCCAACTTCTGGCATCCCTCAAAACCTGGAGCAGATCTATTCCAGGTAATTTCTTCCAAATCAAGCAAACAGAGTTGGCCGCTATACAAGATTTAGACCTAACCGAGGAATCCCGTCCCTTGTCAACCTTTAGAGCCTTAGGACTCGGATTAAGTTGGACTACTTCTCCACCCAAAAAAAGGAAGAACTTTTCTGGTTCCAAATGTCTAGGGTCAATTGGCTTCAATCAGGGGACCACAACACTGGGTTCTTTCACAAAATTGCTAATTGCTGCAGAAGGGACAATTCCATCTCCACTATTAAGGTCAGCAATAGGATTCTGGACCAAGTTCCCGAAATAGAATCAGCCATCCACTCTTTCTTTCAAAACCTTTACTCTGCCCGATCGGCTCCCAGACCTAGAATGGCCAAATTATAGTTCCTAATTGTTCCTGTACATTGGGTTTAGTGGGTGGAACGCCCCTTCTAAAAAATAGAGATCACGACAACCATCAAGGATTTGGGTAAAGACAAAGCCCCTGACCCAGATGGATTCCCAGTAGCCCCATTAAGATCTTCTGGGACACCTTCAAGGCCGACTTCCTCAGTTTCTTTGAAGAATTTTTCCACTGAGGAATTCTTCACAAAGCTATCAACGCCACCTTTATCTCTCTCGTGCCCAAGATCGAAGGGGCAGAGGAGTTGAAGGATTTTCGACCAATTAGTTTGGTCAACTCCACCTACAAGATTCTCTCGAAAGTTTTGGCTTATAGGCTGAAACAGATCTTTCCCTTCGTCATTTCCCCATCCCAGATAATCTTTATCAAAGATAGGCAGATCTTGGATGGGGCCCTGGTGGTGCACGAGTGCTTGCACTCTAAACACCTCAAAAAACCGGGTTTGATTTTCAAGATAGATTGGGAAAAGGCATACGACCATGTCGACTGTCGATCCTGGACGAAATTATGTGTAGAATGGGGTTTGGGGCCCGTTGGAGAAAGTGGATGAGGGGATGCTACCGCAACCCCTCCTTCTCTGTACTAATTAATGGCTCACCGAAGGGATTCTTCCCCTCCTCTAGGGGTCTCCGCCAAGGGGATCCCCTCTCCCCTTCCTCTTTGCCATCTCAGCAGAGGTGTTTAGCCAATCTATCTCTCGCCTTTACCAGGCGGGCCTTATTGGATTCAATAGTAGTGCTCATGGCCCCATTGTCTCCCATCTCCAGTATGCACCACACGTTAGTCTTCTTAGATGCTCGCGGAGGAAATTGAAAACCTGAGGCCATTTCTCAAATGTTTCGAGTATGTCATGGGCTTCAAAGTGAACGTGGAAAAATCCAAAATGATTGGGGTAGAGCTCTCTTTAAAGGTGAACTAGGTGACTGAGCAAGTTAATACTGATTAATTTTTTTTTCTACTCTTTTATACATATTGCCACCCGGATCACTTACAGGTATCCAAAATACAATTTTGACTTAATGAAATAGCCAAGACCTCTCACTTGCATGCCATTAAAAGAAAATTACATTCATCATGTAGAATTGAAATTATATAAGGAAGCAAAAAAAGCAACCGAAGTGCGGAATCATGAAACAACTCGTACCTTGCCTTAGGTTACCCCAAAGGACTTCGATACAGCCCAAACCGGGTCTCCTCCATCGATGACGCACGAGATCTTCATTCAAGAGCACACCTCACAATTAGGGAGGCCTAGGCAAAACCCTTAGAGAGCATCACATGGGATTTACTTGACCAGGGTTCAGCACATGAGCATGAGGCAAGGACCTAGGGCTAGGGCTTGTGTGCCTTGGGCGTGCCACCCCTTAGGGAGTGTTTGATAACAGGAAGTTAGTTCCCAGAAGATGGAACTTACTTGTTACTATTCATATTTAAAAAATGGTTAAGATAAAAAGAGAACTTCCTTTTACTATTCATGTTCCCACTTTTACTCTTAGAAAAAGTTCCATGGTAAACCACGGACCTTGAAAATGGAAGTTGTTATTTCTTCTTCACCCTAGAAAACATTCACCCCTCTTCGCACCTCTGCCCTAAGAAAAGAAATTTTCTTCACCCCTCTTCGCAACAGCCAGCCGCTCGCCTGCAACAGCCAACCTCTCTTCGTACTTCCTCGCCTGCGACAACCAGTCTTTCTTCTTCCTTCAGCCAGTCGATCGCTCACCTGCAAATTTTTTATGGTGGAAGGTTTGCCAGTACATTGACGAGCTTCGGTTTCTTGTGAGATTACATTTCATTTGTAGAGAGAGAGAGAGTGATCACATCATACATTGAAACTTGGGGCTTTCTATTCCATATTTTGGGCGAAATCATCTGAAAGCTTCAAGCTTTAGAGGTAGTGATTCACATGTACTTGCTTTATTTGATTTATCTGTAGCCCTAAATTAGATTCATCATTTTATGGCATTCTTCTTTTAATTGACTTGTCGGCCTTCATAAAATATCTAACCTCTGTTTTTTACTTGTCGTGCTTTACTACCATTTTGTTTTGTCTACTCTGGCGAATATTTTTTACTGAGAAATTTCTCAACTGTAATTGTGCATGAATTGTTAGATTTTTTCTTTTTTTCCTTGTTGATAACTCCTACGCTTCGACACTAGTTTGACAATTGATGGTGTTGATTCAATGTAGTGGGAGTTGATAGGGTATAGTAGTAGAGATAGGAGATTTTATGTAATAAAATCAAATTTTTATGGCTTATGGACATTATTGGAGATACTGCTACTTATATGAAATATAAAGAACTTGAAGCTTGGTCATCACCGTGAAGGGAAATTGTGACTTTTGTTTGTTTATTGATTCATCATTGATTATGTATTTATTGCAAAAGATGATTTATTAATTGATTTTGATCATGTATTTATTGCAAAAGATGATTTATTATGTATTCATCATTGATTATGTATTTATTGCAAAAGATGATTTATTATGTATTCATCATTGATTATGTATTTATTGCAAAAGATGATTCATCATTGATTATGTATTTATATGAATTGGGGCAAATTATTTGGTTATAATTTAGAGCCATAATAATGAGGATAAGGGGTTTTAATTTTTTTTAGCGGTAATGTGGCAAGGTTATCCATCATTATAATTCTTATTTTGCGCGAAAATTGACAAAAAAATGTTGTATTTTTGCATTCATTAACTAAATCTGTCATACGTTTTCAAGGGGCTTTCTTTCATACTTGACGGCCTATGTGTGCTAGTCGTTAAAGTTGACCATTTGAATGTATAAGATGAGATCTCTACATTGATGCATTTTTCATCAGTTTCTTCATTTTTATATGTTTTATTGTAATCCTGTCCATTGGATTCTTAACGGTATATTGGATATGTCTCAAAAAAAATAAAATATTGGATGTCTTTGAGTCTTTAGATTTTATATTTGATCGTGGATGCTGACTTGCTAGATAGCTGATATCTATTCATTTCAATTTAGTTTTTGTCTGTTATGAACACCATCTATTTATATCAATTTAGTTTTTGTTTGTTATGAGCACCATCTATTTATATCAACTTAACAATCCAGGAGGTTATCAAACATAGAAACCCTAAACTTCTTTAACATTCCTGTAGATTATCAAACACAGAAACCCATAACTTCTTACTATAACTTCTTTCTTCCCCAGCAAACAGTTCATGATGTAACTGCCAGTTATCAAACAAACCCTTAGGGTTAACTCTTTTCTAAACCCTAATTTGGATGAGAGATGAAGAGAGAGAAGGCTTGAGTGGGGCGTGCCCCCCTTTGGTTGCTTAGAAAGAGAGAGAGAGAGAGATAAGGAGATTTTAAATAGAACCCCCACAGCTAGTATGTATACACAAGAGGCTAGGGTTTCTAGGGTTAGGGTTTTGCCATCATCATGAGGTTTATTCTTGACCTTTGATCATGGAGACCTATAGGGTGAAGAGATCTCAACCATTCATTCCCTAAAGTAGCCAAATATTTTTTTATAGAGAAAGTAATCAATCAATCAAAATTAATTTCTTACACATTCCTATTTTAAAATCAATCACAATCAATTTTTTATACCATCCTATTTAAAATCAATCACAATTAATTTCTTACACCTTCTTATTTTGAAATCAATCAAAATCTCTACACAAAAAGGTTTTCTAAAATATCAAGCCAACATATGGCATAATTGCCATCTTTTAATTTAGGAAAGTATGGAGGAGGTGGATGGCCATGTGGGCCTCACACCCCCACAATATGGTGGGCCCAATGAACCCAATGGGCCCCCAATACCTTAAACATAATTTTCAGATAAAATAATTTTTATAAAGCCTCCAAATATTTTATTTTTCTTTCTGATTAAAATAAATCCAGGAAATTGATTTTACTCTATTTAAAAAGTCATATTTCAATAAAATAAAATACCTAGAGAGCTCTAAAAATTCATTTTAATTATCTTTAAAATAATTAAAACATATCTAAGAAAGTTTGATGGGAATTGGATCCGACAGTTCTCCTTAGCTGCAATTTTTCGTTAGTCTTGTTGTTGGATGAATATTTAATATATCAGTTTTACTTTTTCCATGGATGCCTTATTTGGAATTTTGATGAGGCACGTGTGTTCCTCGAGGTAATTTGGTTTTATTATGCTTTGCTGGAGTGTTCATGTGTTTTTTTCTGTTATAGCTTGGTTGTCCATTTTGAGTTATTTCCTCATGAATCTCGTTAGGCTTTGTAATCAATTTTTTCTTCTTCTAATAAAGAATATCGATTCCTTGTTAAGATTGGCCATTATATATTTAAGTTTTTCATTTATGTTTTGAGATGGTGTGTTGGATTAGCTTGCATCTGGGATTGAATTTTTACATAATATATCATATTTATGACAGCTGGAAATACATGTCCCATTGGCAAATGTGACGTGCAATTTTATATATGTGCAATGTCTGATTTACAATCTGTGATTCTGATTTACCCTCACAGAAACAAGTCATGCAAGGGTTGGGTGATATTGAACTGTCTTTGGAGCTAGCACTTGGTATTTTCCATGGGCAGGGCAATAAATTGCAACGAAGGAAAAAGGTTATCTGCAACTCCATTATATCTATGACAACAGTGGTTTTGTAATGATTCATTCTTCCCCAAGTTTGTTGTAGGTCTGATGCTATTAAAGTTTAATACCTGTTTTTAACCTTGTTAAATTTGATATTGTTTTGCAGGCTCTTTTTGTGATATCTCGGGCTCTTGAGGAAAATCCTACGTGTGTGCCTCTATGGATTGTTTATCTGCACTTGTACTACAAGAAGGAAAAGTCTATTGGGAAGGATGATATGTTTCTTCAAGCGGTATGCTGCCATTACGTCCTCTTATTTTCTTGGATGCATAATGAATCTTGAGGCAAACTTTAAAGTAAATAATGTTTGTTATGTTGTAAGGTATTAAATAATGTTTCTGATGTTTCTTTGCTTTGTTCATTCATTCATATTAGGATCAATTTTGTTTCACCTTTCTTTACTATATCACAGACAACACTTAAAAATCTATGGCAAAGTATTAAATAATGTTTCTGATGTTATTTTGTTTTGTTCATTCATTGATATTAGGATCAATTTTGTTTCATCTTTCTTTACTAAATCACAGACAGCACTTAAAAAAATCTATGGTAAGGTATTAAATACCCATAGGAGATGAACTATTCAACATTTTACCCATTTGCAGTCATTCCAACTCATAATCATGTGTATTTTGATAGGTATTTTGAAATTAAATCCAAAGACATGGGTTGAATGTTATCGTTGATCTCTTGTGGCTATTTGGATAAATTTCCCAGAAATCTGTTTTTGTATCTACAGTAGCCAATTGCCAAATGTTCAATGTTGTTGTGGTATTAAAGCATCTTGTGGTGTCTTTTCGAAGAAGCTTGATGCGAAGGAAGGTGGGAAATTAAATTATCCTTTGGCAAGAAAAAAATCAGCAACAAATAGCAAAAAAATTATGGCTGTAAATTAAGCCAAGTGGAAGAAGCAGCTCTTTTTCTCTATCATAAAAATATTCTTCACACAAAAGAATACAATGTCCTATTTCTTCTTACCTCATTTAAGTAAAATCCAAAATAATAATAAAAGAAATAAATATTACCTAAAGTTGTGCCTCTTCTCTTCCACATGGTCTCTCTCTCTCTCTCTCTCTCATTTATCTTTACTTCTTACCCTGTTTTAACCATCAAATGCTCGTCTCTCTCTTCTTAACCACCTATTGTTTCTCCCTCTTTCTCCATCTCCTGAACTCTGGGCCTCTAATCTAATCCCCTTGGAAGTTAGGGAAAAAAAAACTATGAAATGAAGAAAGAAAAGACCCATGTTGAACCTATCCCTCTTTCCTGAAACTTACAATCCGAACTAATTAAATCACATAGATCTCATGCTACTCGTGATAAGTCAAAAGTTGACCACTTTGCCCCATGACACTAAATTAAAACCCAATTAATTCCCTCCACTAAAAATTCCCAAAAATTAACCCTAATAAAACTAATAAGTCCAAACCCCTACCTTAGAATTTCTCCAAGATCACTTTCAGCCTAAGTCTTGAACACCTCAGACGTGTTTTACATCATCCTCCCCAAGTTGGAAAAAACTCGGCCTTGCGTTTTCGTTGTATCATCATCGTCCTCCCATAGGTGATGGTGAAGCCCTAATAATCCACACAATTTTCTTTGTAGGGCATGAGGCTGAACATAGGGGGTGCGTCTATTATGGTTTATACACTTAGCATATTTGGTGGGGAATGTTGAGTTTTGTGGCCTCTAAAGGCCTAGAGAGCTTGTAAAAATGATACTTTATAGTGGAATATGCACTTCAGTGGGAGTGTTTGTTGATTGACAATGGGTTGGGTAGTTTATGCCCTGGTTATGTCCAAAACCCTTACCCCTGTGAATGTGGCATTATCGAGAAGGGCTTACAATGGGCCATCCCTTGTTGAGGTTCGAGAGATGCCTATGTGTGGTTTTAGGCCCGTAAGAGTAAGGGACAAAATCTCAACAAACTTTCGCACAGTACAGATTTCAACTTACCCTCTATTTTTGTGCCTTTAATAGGCCTATTCTTTCCCGCAATTGCAATGGCTTCTTTATTTCTTCATGTTAAAAAAAAACAAGATTGTCTAGGGGCCAAATCTCATTAATTTATCTGTACACATGACAATCACATTACAGGGAATCGGCCCTATAGAGGGACACATGTACATGTGCATAGAGAGACTTGCTCTTAAAGGGGGAGACTGAAATCCACATTCCAGGATCATGGTTCTACTTATTGACTTTGATGAGCCAATCATTAACCCCTGCATTGAGACTATGGGTCATGGGTGTTTGTTGGGTTGGATGAGAAAACAACAATGAATCCTAGTTATTGGGTCAAGTGAAGTGCTCTTATTGTTGCAAATTTTGACCCATTGGTACCAATTCATTTCTAAATATTTTATTTTTGGTATTAGAAATGTTTTTTTGATTTTCAATTTTTTTTCAGAATTTTAAAAATTTATTTTTGTTATAAAATCCTTCAAAAGGGCATTTTCAAAATTTTCTAAAATTTGGAACGGCAAACATGGGGCTCAGGATCTAGCTCCACATGTGTGCCATCCATGGATGGGATGTGGGCCATTGTGGGGACCACTTAATCTCTCTTGGGTGGCATGCCCCCTTTCTTTTGTTTATGTGACATCGCTTTTTTTATTAAAGATTGGTTTAATTAAGAGTTTGATATTACCAAAACTGTAATTATTTTGACTTTGTACAGATTTTGGAAAGATATTTGGAACGTTTTGGATTGGTTACAAATAGGAGTTGGACTTGGCTCAAATTATAAAGGGATAAGGTTTCTGATTTCTACCCAAAATCATAATGGCTGCTTTGTAGGATTGATTACTTAGATTTAATCTCGCTCACCCCATGAATTTCCTAATATAAGGCATACTTGAAGGAATCCCATTCCAAGTGGGAGAAAGATTTTCTTCTATATAAAGCTATTTGAATCTCTCTCTCAAATTATGACACCTCTCTCTCTCGCCACAACATATCTCTCGCTCTCTCTCTCATGCCCAAGATAAGTCTCTCCCATATTTCTTTTTGGCACACAAGTATTATTCTTGGCATGCTATCCTCACTTCTTTTCTTGTGATGATACCTAAAGAGAAAGGAAAATAGGTGGTGGCACGTGAAACCTTAGGGTTAGGGTTTGCTATTTTTGAAGAAAGAAGAGGTATGTGAAGCCTAGAGTAAAATTAATTTCAGGTTGAACGCTAATTTGTTCCTATTGGGTTTCTACAAACCCTAGTTGAGTTTTTGACATCTCTAAAGCCCAAGATTAAAAGGTATTTGGCTGAAAAGCTTCTCCATCTTGGAAATTTCAGCAAGACGTAAAGAATTCCAAGTACGCCATTGGGCAGGGGAATCGGGTGTGGGGTGTAACAAGTCTTGTGGGTTGCCTCTAGGCATCATCTTGTAAGTCTTCCCCGTTGATTTAATAATTTTTTTCAGTCATTTTATATTTTTTTTGTGAATTTCTAGGAACATATTTTGTACTTAAAATTATAGTGGAAGATTGGTTATTGCTCCGGGATGGTGTTATTTGTTTTGGAATAAAAGAAAAGGATAATTTTTTAATTTACTTTTTTGAGTTCCACATAGCGACAACTTTCAGGGAACACATTGTTGCCCAAGAGATCAAAATCGAATGCCCGTGCTAAAATAGGGACACTTTCATAACAATCCAACTTCTAGGTTCAAAGGGAAAGAATCACACCCATTCCTTCGATAACCATGCATGCAAAGGTCAGAGTATCTTCCTAATGCATGGTAAGAACTTTGCATGGTAAGAACTATCTCATCTGATTCAAAACTTGCTTTAGGTGTCAAGTTCAGCGTGAGAGCATGAGTTTCCTTAGCATGCTCTAGCTTGCAGAGTGGGTTCACACATTCAGACCCAAAGCATTGAATTCGCAAACAAAATTTCAACACCAAGTTCATTTCAAAGAGTCCCAATTGAGATCACCTCAGTCTTGCCAATTTTCAAAAGAGCACCCAACACAGAATGCAGTAAAGAATCCCCTACAGATTCATATGAACAAAGCGCCACTTAACACCTACCCTATGAACTCGAACACTGAAGACTAGCATTTGTGAATCCAAGCACAAGTATAAACTAATGATAGTAGGAGGAACAAAACAGTTTGGTTTTAAACCATGGAAAAGTATGAGAGGAAAGGGCTTCAGGTTGCTTTGGTTCATACCTTTTCTGAAATATCCAGTTAACTCTGTAGAAAGGAGATTGCGAACTTGACAACAACATGATCAGAATTTAGTGGCCACAGAAAGATCACCATCGACTTATATCTTCAGTAGGCACGTAACTGCCTCCATAATCTCCTTGGCTCCATGATATCACTCCAATGCATCAACTCCATCAAATGCCATGGGAAACCCAAGGACCTCTATCTCTCCATCGCAATGTGACCTGTTGTTAAATTGTGCCCATTCAACAAGACCAAAGACTAGAGTGCTCTTGAGTTGTATTCCTCTTGGATGCTGTATCAAACACATTTTGTTGATGCTGAAGATTGCCACATCTATGACATATGGGCACTATATCATTGGTCACTGGCACAAAATCATCTTTAGGGATGTTAGGTTGAGCCATTTGGTCTACCCAGGACTGTTTTTATCTTGCATAACTTTGTGGAATTGGGATGGGTATTGGGTTTCTTTGGTTTAGGTTTTGGGGGAAGAAGAGAGGGAATAGAGCTGGTTGGTTCATCAAAACAGAGTACCAAAGTACCCTTTTCCCATGCACTAGTGAACATAACATCCACTATTTGGTGAGTGTTCCCTATGTTAACCCACTAGCTGAGATCCCAAAGGGAATTATCATCAACTCCTTGGTGTGCATATCCCATGGCATACTAGGATAAGACATTTAGAGGGACGATTACTACCACCATCACCAACATCGTTTCCCTCTTCAAAACTTAGTCTCTCTTGTTCAAACTCCAACCATTCGTTAGAAGTTGAACTTTTCACAAAATCCAACTCTTTGCCCAGGGCCTCTTCAAAGATCGGAGGAGAATCCGAATCTTTGACTTGGTGATTTTTTGAACCATTTGACGGGAATATAATTTCTCTATGGTTGGTCTTGGACAGAGTTCCATAAAATTTAGGGAAGTCAATTTTAATATCTGAATCAGACTCTCTTCGCTTAGATCTTCGTATACCACATGCTGATCTCGTAATTCCTCATTGCTTGTGCCCCTATGCCGGTGATCTTGGTCTTGGGGTGGTCAGCTGTCCAACCCTTTATCAAATTCATGCTCTCATCAATGCCGTCAAGCAACAACCCAACTTGGTGATGGGACACATCATCAGCCCTTTCCCACAAGTCATGCTAATCTCCATGAAAACCCTCATGGTTCAGATCTAACCTAGTAGATCTATTATCATTATGGGCACACTTGTCGATCTTGCTCGCGCAGCAGCTGTGCAACCATCTCCATCAAGTTGTTGATTTTCTTGCACACGCGGATCAGATTGGCATTCCTACGGTCACGACCTCCACGACCAGTTATCATTACCGAACGATGCAAAAGGAAGGTGGGAAATTAAATCCACTCTGTTTTTGATCCTCTAACAAGAAAAAAATCGGCAACAAAAAAGGAGAAAAAATATAGCTGTAAATGACGCCAAGCGGAAGAAGAAGCTCTTTTCTTCTTTCATAAAAATATCCTTCACACAAAAAAAATACCAAGTCCTGTTTTTAATTGGGACATCCCACTCTTTAAATACAATCCAAAATAATAATGAAGAAATAAAAAATTAATTAAAGTTATCCCCTTTTCTCTTCCACATGCTTTTTTTCTCATTTATCTTTACTTCTTGCCCACGTCAACCACCACACCCCATCTCTCTCTTCTTATCCCACCTAGTGTTTCTCCCTTTTTCTCTCCATCTCGCAAACTCTAGGCCTTCCATCTTAATCCCCTTGTAGGTTAAGAAAAAAAGACAAAAAAGACATGAAATGAAGGAAAGAAAAGACCCCCATCCAACCTATCCCTCTTTGCTAAAACCTTGGAACAATCCCAAGTAACTAAATCACATAGATCTCATGCTAATCGTGATAAATAAGAAGTTGACCACATTGTCCCATGACATTAAATTACAACCCAATCTAATCCCTACACTAAAAATCCCAAGAGTCCAGAAAATAAATAAATAAGTCCAAACCCACACTAGAATTTCTCCAAATAACTTTCGGCCTAATTCTTGAACACCTTGGACGCGATACATCAGAGCCTTTTGACTCTTTTAGTTGATGTTTTTCTTAACTTCAATTGCTTGTGGTTTTGTAGGCTCTTGATGGAAGCTTAAGATGAACCTATGAACACCTTGGACGCGATTTACATCAGAGCCTTTTGACTCTTTTAGTTGATGTTTTTCTTAACTTCAATTGCTTGTATTTTTGTAGGCTCTTGATGGAAGTTTAAGATGAACCTATAAGGTGTGAAATCTCTAATATTTATTTAGTGAGTTCCATGTACCTCAAGGGAAGAGATCCTAAGCCTTAGAATCAATTGTTTCTCTGGCTGGCATCTCACTTTGGTTAAAATAAGAGGTGTTCTGTGGAACATCATGTTGAATAAAATGCAATCTATTATATCAAGACTTCATATTCTAAAATGCACAACACCACACAGAAAACTTCAAAAACATGTTTGCATAGAAACATTCATTTGGGTGTAAGGCTCACTTTGTCAAATGTCCCATGTGGTTTTTTTGTGATGGGACCATCTCCTTACAACACTGAGTAGCGAACTCCCCTGCTTAGAGGGCACAAATAGAGCCCCTGTGGTCGCTGTAGAGAGGCTTCCTGGAACCGATGCCCCTTTATTGTCCTGTTTATCTTTTCCTTTTTCTTTCTTTCTTTCTTTATTTTTTATAGTATTCTTTCCCTTGCTTCTTATGTCTTTCCATTTGTTTTATTTTTTATTTTTTCTGTGTCTTTGTTTTCATTCATGTATTGCTTGATGTATATGTTTTCCTCACTTATCAGTGCAATATTGTTTAAAAAATGGTGGCGCTTTTTCGCTTCTTTTCTCTCTGGACAGGAGCGCTAATGGGCAAGTGTTATACAAATTGCTTGCATCCACTCCTTTTGCAGCGGTGTTTGTAGAATTGGACTCAGGCCTAAAGCCGGTCAGTGGCCAGTCCGAATAATTGGGTCAGGCTCTCTACAAGACTTGTCCAAGTCTTTAAAAAAATAAAATGGAGACCTCTAGAACTTGTGTGTCTCAACCGATTCCCAAGGTTTTTCACTTGGACCTGGCACCCTACTGGATCTGAATAACTCGGCTGTATCTGGACTCAGCTACTTTTGTAACTTTGTTTTGCCTGCTTTGGATGTGCCTTGCCATGCCTTTTATTCTAATTGCGTGTCGTAATATTTTGTGACTGTGACACCTTATTTTTAATACTTTTAAAGTGAAAGAGATGATTAATAGTCCCTGAATTTGATTTTTTGAACTTTGTCTATTTTCACAGGTCCGGCATTGCAAAAGTTCTTATGAGCTTTGGTTACTGTTCATTAACAGCAGGCCACAAATTCTTGAACAGATCCATGCTTACAATACTGCGCTGTCAGCATTGTGCCATGCATCAAATTCTAATGAGGAGGACAGTGCCATAAGTGCCTGCATTTTGGACTTATTTCTAAGGATGCTACATTTATCCTACATGTCAGGGGACATCAAAAGGGCCATATCCATAGTATTTGAACCTCTATGTACTGAAACACACACAGAGGACACTATTGAGTTATCTCTATCATACATTTCATCATGCCTGACAATATATGATAGATGCATCTTGTGGGTTTCTTCAGCTTACTTGGCAGTCTATGGTAAACTTCCCGGAACCATTGTAGAGAGGTTTGAGTTCAAGCAGGAACTGCCATTTGGGTTAGAATGGCCTTCTATTGAATTGGCAAAAGAAGAGAAACATCGTGTTTTGGAGTTGATGGATGCAGCTGTAGATGATCTCCACTCAATCAAAACATCGCAGTCTCCACAAGAATCTCTTGTTTCCACCCATGCATTGTGTGTTAGCCATGTGAGGTGCATGGCTGCTCTTGAAGGCTTGGACATGGCCCTCCCTTTGGTAGAGAAATACAAGAAAATGTACCCAGCCTGCATTGAACTTGTCCTAATATCAGCCCACCTTCATAGAGACTGTCTAAGTAATTATGATTTTGAAGCATTTGAAGAATCACTGAATAACTGGCCAAAGGAGAGCCATGGTGTTCAGCGCATCTGGCACCAGTATGCCAGTTATGTCCTAGAAACCAAAGGGGTGGGTTTTGCAGAAAAATTGATGAATCGCTGGTTTCAATCCCATGATAGCTTGAATGCTTGTGAGCAAGGAATTTGTCCTGATAGTCGTTCCTTTCACCCTACATCAAACAAGTGCATTTTTGGGTTGCTTAATCTGGCTACATACAAGCTCTTGAAAAAGGATTGGGCCGAAGCTCAAGCAACAGTGGACAAAGCTTTGAAGTTATCTTGTGGAGAGGACTTCAAACACTGTTTGAAAGAGCATGCCTCATTGAACAATCATGGGAAGCCTAATGATGAGATCCTTGGCCTTCTATCAAGGTATTTGAGGGATGCACGAGTTCTCCCAGTTCCCGAGCCCCTATCAAGGGGCTTCCTGGTAAATACTAGAAGGCCCAGGCTTCGACAGGTAATTAAAAATATACTGGGTCCGGTTCCCCCTGACTTTTCATTACTTAATTCCATTCTTGAAGTATGGTATGGGCCATCACTCTTACCTGAATCACTTGGAATGAAGGGTTTAGTTGATTTCGTGGAAGTTCTAATGGATATTGTGCCTTCTAACTATAAGCTTGCTCTCATGGTGTGTAAGTTTGTATCTCGGAGCTACAACCCAGTTGATGTTGCCTCGACTTCTGCTATGTTTTGGGCTTGCTCTACTCTGGTCAACTCCTTAGTCCCAGCTTGTCCTTTGGCCACAGAGAGATCATGGGTAGAAACTGCAGAGCTTTTGGGTGTTTTGGAAATGGAGAGCCTTTCTGAGAGGTTTCATAGGTTGGCCATCTCTGTTTATCCTTTTTCTCTCACCTTGTGGAAATCTTACTTAACCCTGTGCAAGACTGCTGCTATTGGAAATGCTGATGCCATCATAGAAGCAGCAAAAGAAAGAGGCATAACATTAACCAATGATATTATACTTGGGATCTAATTGCATTTCTGATTGGATAGTTACAGAATGAGTCTGTAGTTTTGTAAATATAAAATGATGATGTGGTTCTATCCGATGAAGCATATTCCACCACTTTTGGAAGCATAGAATGATTACACTGGTCCATGGTTCCCTTTTCTCTCCCTCTTAGTGTTTGAATGGGAAGATAGTTTTTGTGGGGCCTCGGCCTGATCATGTAGGGTTTTATGTAAAGACTCAACTGAAAGGCTATCAATTCACTGACTGATTGGTTAGTGGGCCTGTTCTTTCTTGCTATGTAATTACATATCTTCAAGAGCTGATTTGTGCAGTGTTTTTTGTATACTCCTTGCCATTCTATGTAGAGTTTTGGAAGAGCTCCCTGAATAAAGTCAGAGGGATTGTTAACCCTCTCTTGAAATCAAACATTGGAGTGCTTGTTAAGGCACATCAAATACGGAATATATATGCAATATGTGAGATCTTTTAAGTAAGGAAATTGATAGTTATATTTGTTTCTTTATTCTTATCTGTGCTGTTCAATGCTTCAATATGAACATTTTGTCATCTAGGATTTTGGAACATCATCCAGTATCCCATCCAAGCAATCAGTTGGTTTATATTCATATGCTGATTGAAGACTGACTGCTTATTAATATGTGCATATATTCATTCGTAACTTGGTATCAAAAGTTATGAAACTAGGAGGCTTGATACAAATATTCACTATTGTTCCTTTGAAGTTGATATGCATATTTTGTGAGCAGCTAAATTTGTGCTCTGTATTTTTTATTGTCGGTGTGTATGCATGCCTATGTGTGCAAGCATGTAGGAATGTTCTTGTGTGCAGTGTGCACTAGCTTTCTGATTATTTGTGATATGTTGGATCGTTAGCAGTCATGATAATCTTCTAAATGTGCAGATTCAATGAGCATGGTAGGAACATATTCGAGCCTCTTTGGGAGAGTGGCTACTCTAACTGTTACAAATGCTTGCGGCCCTGGTCCCTTCGCTTGCCTATGGAGCAGTCTTATCATCAATGATAAGGACATCTATCATCCTACCTGAAGGAAATCCTCTTTTTAGTTGTCGGCAGTATTTATCTAATCGTCTCAAAAACAACACTAATCATCTCAACAAGCCTAGTTTTAACAAATTAGCTGGTTACCATAACACTTTGTCCACTTAACCCCACTCCCATTTAATATTAGAACCCCAAGCCTAGGTGTTAGTGTTCACGCGCCTAACATTCTTCTAGTGAAGTCTCCCAATGAAGTAAGTTGATCTCCTCAAGCAGACTTTCTTCCATCTGCCTCAACTAGCTATTTTAGCTTTGCACCTTTATATTTGTTCATCCTATCTGTAAGTTTCCCTTGTTCTCTCGTCATTCCAATATTACATCACCGTCTCCCTCACTATGTTAGATTAATATTTAGAAATTTAGACTAGTGTGAACAGCAAGAACGAAAGGCTTCCCACAAGTCGGGAGCTCTACATTCTTTTTTTTTTTCGTTTCTGAATATCAACCTTTAACATCCTCATGAAAATATGTACGTGTGTACGATTTTCACGGACTGAATCAGTCCCCATGTTATGTCACTATTTGCTTCAAGGATGAACAAGAAGTTCCTTGAGGCACGAAATTTGAACTAACCAAATTGCTTTGGAGATCCCTTCTTGTGCCAACATATTGGTGTTGGTATTTGACTCTATCTATACATATGTGAAATTCATATCTGTGATGATGATGAAGAAGATAAGACCCCGAAATTGGAAGTGGGTCATAGAATTACAAGGGAAAGAGTTATAAATATTGGCAGAAATGTAAGGTATAGAAGGCCTCTCCCTAAGGGGCTAATGGATGCTTTTTGTATTCTTAATCTTGAAAAAGTTGTGGTAGAGGATAGGAGGAAAGAAACAAAACAAATCCTGCTTGAAAATAGATAAAAGAAAGAAGAGGAACACAAGGTTTATAAATATATTACAAAGTGGTTTTATCAAGCCAATTGTCCTTTCAATACCATGTGCCTTGAAAGCATCAAAGTTATGGTCGAGACAATTCAGCAATTTAGCCTAGGAGTCAAACCTCTTTCATTCCATGAACTCAAGGATTCTCTTTTGAAGAATGCCGTGAAGGATGGGAAAAAACAGTAACCTTTTTTTTGAGCACTCATAAAGAAGAGAGGGAAAAGCATGGGGTGATAATCATGTGAGCGGAGTTTCGATGGAAAATCTCGGACATTTATAAATATGTTGCTCAATTGTTCTTTAGGCACTCTTTTTATGAAATCTATTTATTAATCAGACAAATCATAGGATGTGACTTGTGTGGGCTGATGGATGAATTTGTGAATTTTGTGCGGGAAGAGATGATGCGCTTTGTGGCCTTCAAAAGCCTTGAAGAGCATAAAAACTCATGTTACAGTGGTGAGGTGTGGTCCACATGGGACCAATGGCATATTTGTGGTGCCAGTTGACTCACCCAAGTTCGGTGGTTTAGGCCCGAGAGTAGAGTCTAAACCTCTTTCACCTAAGCATGAGGCACACCAATAGAGGGTTTGTAGGGTGATCCTTGATTCAGGTAGGAAAGATTCCTATGGTGCTTTTGGCTAGGAAGTGGCCAGGTTCTTATGTGCGGTACTTATAATGGCAAGGACCAGTTCCTCAAAATTACCACTGCATGGCATTTTATACAACGACATCTATGGGAAGCCACCATTGAGGGTAATGCATGAATATGTGTTGAAGGGAGGACCCCCTGTGCTATTGTGATAATGTGCATATCCCCATGCAGGACATGGCTTGTCCATAGGGGAGAACTTATAACCCACACTATACTCATGTTCCTGCTATTTATTGGCCAACTTTGATGGACCAATCATGAGTTTTGACTGTGATAATTTGTTAATTTGATTGGTACGAGAAAATAATACGAAGACCATGTGAACTAGCATAGGTGGAGTGCCATAGTAAATTCACATATTCTTGACTTGATAGATTCAATTACCTTATGATTATGTTTATTTGTCTCTTAGATGATTTTTTGATTATAAAAGAACTTTTCAACATGTATTATTTATTTTTGGGTGTGGTTTGTATAAGGCTGATGCTCTAAACAATCTAAGTAAGGCACGTTCAAATAGTATCAAAAGGTATTGTTCTAGTCTTAACAATCTTTGTAATGGTCTGAAAATTTATTTTTGTATCCAATTATAAAATTTAGTGCTTAAAAAATAATGACCATTTTTTCTCATGTCCATACATCTTGAGGTTGATAGTCAATTTGAAGATTTTTTAGCATCAAAACAACCTCATCTAGGGAATTTTTAAGGGCCTCACCCTTATATAATTTTTTGTTCTTTACTTTTTATTTTGCCTCATATTTTTAAATCAAAGTGAATGTTTTTTCGGCATTAAAAAATACATAGGCATCTTCAAATACCAAAAATGGAATTTAAAAATTCTTTGGGGCTTGAAAAAATATCTGGTGTCCACGTGGGACCTAGTGGCCAAGGGCTGACGTTGGGGCTTGCCCATATTGTGTGGGGCATGGGTCCCATTGAGGCTCCAAAGGCAACGCGCCCCTCTTTCCTTATTTCCTATATTTCAAAATTAAATATTATGTGATATTCTAGGAGTTCTTAGAACCTTCTAACTTTCCTATTTTTGAATTACAAGAGAATGGGTTAAGAAAACTAAAGTATAATGATTATAAACCCTTCTCTTTAATCATAATGATTAATTTAGAGAATGAAGGGTTAAGATTAAAAGGCTCTCTTCACCTAATAAATCACCTTAGATCAACAGTCGGCATCCCAAATAAGATGGCAAACCTTGATATCACTACTTCACTATAAATAAGAGGTCATACCCCCTTTTAGAAGATTAAATTAGTATCTTCGCTCTCCAAATCCATAGAAGGGTGGCATGCATTCCCCTAGGGCAAAAGAAAAAAAGGGTGGCATGTCCCACCCAAAGAAGTCTAGGGTGGGTAGCCTGGCCTAGATCCATATTGCTTGTTCCTTTGTTATGCTCTCTTTTCCGAACTATTTACGAGTTTGCCATAACAGCTTCCCATCTTTAAGGGAATTCAACTTTGCTAATCCATGGACGGCCCAGATTAATTATGCCATTTGGGACTATTTTCTCCATCAAAATAGACTCATTTTTTGTGCCTTAAAAAGGGCTTTATTTATTTATTTAGAGAACCCTAATCTTACACTTCTAAACTATGGCTTTAGGCACAAAATCCCTAACATTTTCCTGCGACTTTCAGACCATATTTGGCAATGAGAAGGCCAAATAAACTTGAAGACCAAAAAGAGCAGAGGCTGGAGCCAGTCAACATTAGGGTTAGATTGCCTCCACCCCTTTCTGTCTTATTTATAGTTGTAACTTATGTACAAGTTATACCGATGCCCTTAAGTATGTTAAGGAAAGGAATCCCCTGTTAACCCACAAACAAGACATGCCAAAAGAAATAACCTGAATATATTATTTAAATTGAAGCCTTCTTTGATATCACCCCATTTCCATGGGACTAAAAAAATTGGTGTGTTGTGTCTGGCTCAGAAGTTAGGACCCTATCTTGTAACAGACTTGGCCTAGTTGGACCTTAGATCAGCGATGTTGGACTGTTGACTCAGGCTTAGGACCTAGTGAGCCTTGTTCCGGAACAAATTACAGGGAAAAAAACCTGCAGGCTTTTAATTTATGAGAAAAATATCGTTAAATGGTAATAAAACCCTCCAAACCGTATCCGTAATTACTTTGATCTAGTTTTAAATCATTGCTAAATACATTCAAAGGGCCTGTTTGGGTGCTTGTGTACGTGTCCCATTGGACAAGATGGTACAACACTTATCCAAGACAGAAACAATGGTGAGCTTTTTCTTAGGCATTATCTTGTTCATGGATACCTGTTGTTTTTTGGATTAAGCCCCTAAAAACCCTTGACCTTTTTAGGACTGGTTATATGGCTCCAAACTGTGCTTCAAGAGTCACGTGTCCCCTCCTGCCCTATCCAGTGGTTATCCAGGCTAGCAAACAGGCCCTAAATCTCCCTTCTGCAAATTTCAATCAGTTTCCGTTGGAAGAGGAGTTTGCTGGGCATTGTCGCTAATCCTCTTTTATCACCCACTCCCCCCTTTGAAAGAAGCCCCACTCCGCACCACTGTGGGGCCCCTCTCTGAATTGAGAGCGCTAGGTGAGAGGGAGTCCATTATTTAAGTGGGCTGTGCCCTCAATTGGGACCTCCATTCGAGGTATCACTTTACGAAAATAATGAGCAATGGCCCTAGGTATCACTAGTCCTGTATATGAAGCTAGTCTTATATCCCAATTTGGGGTGATGATCAAATGTGACTGAAACATGAATTTTTGCATGATAAGACAGGTGCATGACATTGTCAATGTGAATTGAGTGCTAGGTGAGTGGGAGTCCATTATTTAAGTGGGGGCGGTGCCCTCAATTGGGGCCTCCATTTAAGGTATCACTTAACCAAAATAATGAGCAATGGCCCTAGGTATCACTAGTCCTGTATACGAAGCTAGTTGGCCCTGATCTCCACTGTACATGTTTGCTATAGGGTTTGGTGTCCTACATGTTTTTATTGATCCAGGTTTCATGTGATCGTTGTCCAAAAGGCGCATAGTTTCAACAAGTGTTATTAGAACCAGAACAAGCCAGCCCATCCTCTCGTTTTGAGCCCAAACTGGATCTTAGACCAGTTTGTCCAGTAAACATAACATTTGGCCCTCGCCTCCACTCCCACCATTAACATATTTTAAAAAAGAAGCAGATTGTAGAAATTACATGAAGATTTCTATTTTTTTTTTAAAATTTATGTAAGAGTTTTGACAGGCGTTTGTCGGTCCAATTGGTTTAATGACCAGTCCAACCACTAATAAAATCATGCCAAGCAATTTTCGGGTTTGTTGCCAGATCCTATTCTACCCCACTATTCCAAATTCCGATTTTCAACTTCCAAATGCTGTACAATTGGGAATGGCTCTTGGTACTTTTTTTTTTTTTTCTTTCAACAAAACAAAACTTGATATGCCACATTATTTTAATAAAATGTCAATTAGAGCCCCCACCTGTGGGGAAGGATACAAATGCAAATGCAAATGCAACAACTTGCTATCCCCAACTGTTGTTACACACGACAACAGAGAATATACAGTAAAATTGTGTAGATATAAGGTCATATCCATATGTAGTCATCAAATGTGATGCTAAGTATGAGTCATTGACAATGTTTAATGTTCAATAAAAGTTTCTTGGACCTTGTGATTAACATTTCGTATTCACGTATGACAGCTAAAAAGTAATTGTAATCTTCTTGTACTAAAAGTAAAAATAATTTTACATATATAATCCCTTAACAGTATAGATAACATGAGAGAGCGAGATATTATGCACTAAGAAGAGAGAGAGAGAGAGCCATTTTACACTAACAGATGATGCATGAGACTGGGTGCTAAGGAGAGAGCCTAGCATCATTCTCCACCACCTTCTTTGGCTGCTCTGCCCCCATATGCTGAAGCCTACCTATCTGCTGTTGCACGACCAGCACCGACGATGACATGATCTCCACACTATTTGCTACCAGTGCTTCACCTAGTTGCCCCAACTCCCCATTCTCTGTTGCCTGCTCCTCCCATTCCGGCAGCATTCCTCCTGGAAATCTCCCTCTCCCCACCACCACCATGTCATAGCCACTGCTCCTCCCGAAACTCACCACTGCCTCCATTACATCATTGGCCCTCTCCATCACTCTTTCATCATAGGTTATCGAATCTCCCCTCTCTGCAATCTCCTCCATAAGCTCCTTTTCCATTGTGTTTGCTACATTTGGGTTCGAGATCTCACCACCACTTTTTGGCAGTATGAAGCTCACCACGGCGACCTTCACACGAGGGTGCTCAGCCATGCGAATGGCAAGCTCCAGTGCCTTGCGACAATCAGGACCACCAAGGAAGATAACACAGACACGGAGAACTAGGCTATTGGGGAACACCTGGTTGTCAGTGGCACCTCCGAGACCTCGGTTCACAAGCATTGCAATAGGACAGGGGGCCTCTTGGAGGACACGCTGGTTGACGGCACGGATGTCTGTGTCAGAGTGCTCAAGGGTGTAATCAAGGAGGATGAGGGACGCATGCTTTTTAGCTGCGACATTGCATATGTCTTGGTGCATAGAAATGAGTGAGGATATTGCAGTCATGGGACGCACACTAACCTTGGCGAGGTAAGGATGAGGGGGAAATGAGGGAGTGGAAAAATCAGAGCATTTGACAGAGGGGAGGCCATTGCGACGTGCGCGACGAATGAAGAGCATTGAAGATGGGCGTTCAGAGAGGGGGGTGAGGTGCATGAGATAGAGTTTGAGGGGTGTTTTGGGAGGGCCACGAATGGACTCAAAGAGAGTGAGGATACCCAAAGTTGAGCCGCGGTGGTGAAGGCAAGCGAGGAAATGGAGGTTGCGGGGGGTGGGGACAGAGAGGTGGAGGTGGTGACGATGGGGGTGGGAGGAGGGGTTGTAGAGGGCCATGACGATAGGCGTGGTGATGAAGGTGGAGAAGAGGGCCATCAGCACTAAGATGGCGAAAGTCTCTTCGTTCAGCACCTGTTACATTAAAATGAAAAATGAGACACCACAGAGAGATTGGAGTTATTGTAACATAGAGACTCCCGCATAAAACTCGTGCTTTTTTTTTTTGTGTCGTATGTTGATATGTGTCGCTCAAACATATACAGATATGTCACTTTTCCAAAACTTGGTGTCGTCTTTCAACTGATCCTCTTTCCATCGGGGCTACCTAGTTGGAGTTTTGGGCTTTTAGCTTGCATTGTTGACACATTAAGATGTGTTGTCAAACATTAGACGTTGCATCATCTTTTTTTCCATTAGCATTACCGGGTCTCTCATGGGGTTTAAGCCTCTCGACACTGCAAGAAATTAGCAACACGCTGCTTTTGATACCTTTTTGCTAAATTTATTTTTTTAATAGGTCTTAAATGAAGAATTGTTTTAAATTATAAAAATAAGAATATAAACAGAAAATTATTCTACAAAATAACGTTCTCTTATGTTTTTAGCGCATCTTTCATTTTCTCTCACGCCTCTTGAATTTTAATATCGAGTAAAAAGCCTATACTTTGATGGTTTATATGAGGCTCATAATTTTTGAGTCTTTTTATTTATCTTTTACCCTATGTTTAAGAGCCCACATGCAAGACAAGACAAAAAAAAAAAAAATTGAAAATAAGATGGTACAAAAGTTGGATTTTTGAATTACAAGATATTTTTTATTTTATTTTATTTTTGTAAATATTTTGCATGGTTCGAGAGTTGGTCTTGGGAACCGCCTTTGTATTTTTGTGTTTTAGGCAATGGTTTAAAAAACGGATCGGTGACTTGGATCGGGCTTCCAAAAGACTGATCCGGATAGGCGAATCGGCGATCCGGATTGGGAATCGAGTGAATCGGTCAGAATAAAGCTTAAAAAAAATCAGAAAAAATTATTAAAATTCATTATAAATATTTTTTTTAGGAATTCAATAAGAAATGAGGGTACTCCATTAAGAAT